TTTAGCGCCGAAAGCCCTATCTCCTTGGACACCCCTCAGTCTGGGGGAAAATCTGGACAGCTGGTTGCCTCCATAATTAATGACCTTTCCCTAATTTTTACTAGATGAAAGAGAGTTGATTAATTATTGGTTTCTGCTAGGCAAGGCCAATTCCCTGCTTTATTATAGGTCTTCCATGAGCAAATGAGTGAAATGAAAAAAAGTTCCAGAACTGGGCTCAATTAATTACCCAAACAAATAACCAAAAGAATGGTAATATGCTTTAGTATTCCATCGGCTCTGCTGGTCTCATAGTCAGGAAAGAAGGACTAAGTAAGGAGACCTGAGGCGGTCCAGGGAATTTTGAGGAAGAACAAGTTTTAAGTCCAAGATATTTTGTTTTAGTGTAGGCCTGGACAAGATAGATCCTTAGATTAGTGTGTGTGGTCCCAGAAGATGAGCAGGTTATGAGTCAAGAAGCTAGGGGAAAGAAAGCCAATAAATGTGAGTTTAAAATACTTCATCATGAGGATAGAGTACATAGTTGGCATCCTGTCTCTTATTTCCTCACCTTCTGTCCCCTTTTAAACCAGTTGTTATTACTTTCTGTCAGATTTTTCTCCCAGGTTTTATTCAGTCAAATACTGATACAGTATTAATTGCTAAAGGTATATCATACCTTTGATTTTATCTTGATTAAAAGTTGAAAATGGAGACCAGTTTTAACCAACGGTGAACACTAAAAACCTCGACAAGAGATGTTAAAAAGCTGTTAATACAAGTTTCCTGAAAAGGTCAGCCTGTTTCAGCTTTGTTGTGGGAAGTCAAGGAGATTAGTGTATCTATAGTTGGACCCAAATGTGAAACAAAAGGTGATAGCAAATCCCTGGAGACCTGATGGCTACAGAGGAATTAAAATTTCAGAACCTCAAGAAAAGATGAAGCCAAGGAGGAAGGAAAGATTTAGGATTCTTTTAATACAGTCATCCCTTTCCTTAGACTTTCTTCTGGAGTTCAATTATTTGAACACAATGTGTTTATTCTAACAGAAGGCTAAATGATCTTCCATTCGTTCAGTCAACCACTTGTCCTATCAGTACCCTCCCTACCCCAACAGGTAAGAAGTGGTACATCCAGTGGATGGTCCTGGAATTTCCATCTCCAGGTAGCAAATATTTCCAGACTGTGGGTCTGTCTGTTTTTTGTGTGTTTTTTTTTTTTTAATGCTTATTTATTTTTGAGAGAGACAGAGACAGTGAGAGAGCCTAAGAAGGAGGGGGAGGGTAAGAGAGGGAGGGGAACAGAGGATCCAAAGTGGGCTCTGCACTGACAGCAGAGAAATCCATGCAAGGCTTGAACTTACAAACCAAACTGTGAGATCACGACCTGAGCCAAAGTTGGACGCTCAACCGACTGAGACACCCAGGTGCTCCTGTCTGGGTTTATTAAAGCTTTTGTCCATTCATATCCCTCAGTTAAGCTGCTGTAGGGGCGATGGTCCAAGTACTGTTTTACTGTGCCCTGATACTGAAATAGTTCCTGACTGGCCTCCTTGCTTTCATTGTTGTTGCTTCCAAATACATTGTGGCATATCAGCCAGAAAGATTTTTGAAAAACATAGATCATAGTACTTTATCCTCTACCCCATCCCAGAGGCTAAACTCCTCTAATGGGCTTCTATCACACTTAATAGAATATAAATGTAATGTAATGTAAAATATCTGAAAGCACCACATAATCTGCCCACAGCCTGCCTTTCTTACTTCATCTTACCCACAAAGCTGTAGCCATACTGCTTTCCTTTCTGTTTCTTAAATGTGCTAAGCTAATGCCTATGGTGACCTGCAAAATCTAGGGATTTCTGTTTTGGTTCTTGGAATAGCTGGCTGCCTTTTGTTAGCCACCTAGTCAGTCATTCCCTGTCATATTGCCATATTTGAAATCTCTGCAAACCACCTGCTAATATGGACATTTACTTATTTTTGTCTGCTTTTCCTTCTCAACCAGACTGCTCTTGTTCTGTGCCTTCACTGTAAGTCGTAGAACAGTGCTTAATAGATAGTTGGTACTCAGTAAACCTTTTTAAAGTGCCTGGTTTCTATCCTCAAAGAGCTTACAAATCTGGTTGTATATCAAAGGTAATGTAAGTGAAAAGTTAAATGCGTATGACAACAAACGAGATGCTAAACGGTAGTATATGATTAAGTACTACATGAACTTTTTATCATAAAGCATCGATTTAAATAAAATATAAAGGAGGAGGGGATACTTCATTTTCCCCTTTCATCATACCAGTGAAACTTCAAGTTCTAAAAGCCATTTTCAACAACGGGGAGGTCACAGGTGGAGGTGATGGGGAGAAGACGGGAGGAAGTGCAGAATGAGTAAGCAGAGAATGTGAGTGCCCTTGGACCTTCAGCCCCGGCCCAAGATTGACAAAGACGGCCTACCTTGCCAGGGGATGAAATTCTTAATTATTTGGAACTTGGGGGTAACGCCAGTTGGATGGAATATTTTGAGGTACAACTTTCCGCTCCTAACGAGTTCTGCGGAGGCTTCTCCTCCCTCCTCCCCCCCCCCCCCCCCCCCCCCCCCGCCCTTTCTGCCCTCCGCCCCCGCCCGTTTTGGCTCTGCAAGTTGAAACTACAAACCAGGTTTACAAAGAGGAAGTTGCCTTAGGGAGGTAGACCCGCAGCAAGTACAGCTGCGAGGGCGTCGGCGGTAGTGGGGGTGGGGCGGAGGCCACCACCTCCCTTGGAATTGCTAGGCTTTGGTCTCGCAAACACAGAGTGCCTTTCTGCACAGCTGCTGAAATAGGCCAGGCCTGCAGGCTATACGGATATGTTTAGTATCTAGGGGACACTTGTTTTTGTAAACTCCTTTTCCCCTTTCAAAATCTGGCAAACGTTAGTCAACTTGAACTCAGGCACGAACCCACAAGTGTGCGTGTGTGCTTTCAGATCAGGCCCCGCCCCCGCCCTCAGACGCAGGCTGACACACAGAGAGAGACCTGGCCAGATCTTGCTCTTGGCCTTGATTGAAGCGGCTTCCCTGGAATCGCTAGCCCCAGGGCCCGCTCTGCCTCCTCCCCTAAAGGGGACCGCCCGGCTGCGCCGCGCCAGAGCAGAACACTGGGAAGAAAGTTTGGAGCGCGGGCGGGGGGAGTCGGGCCGCCGGAGGAAGGGAACGAGCGGACGGGGATCTCCGCTGCAAGTTTGCGCGGCCGTCCCCGCGTCCCGAGGGCGCCTGCCCCGCCCGGCACTGCAGCCGCCGGACATCAGCGCTCCGGGCGGAATGGGGCTTCGGGTCGGGGTCCGCGGCTGCCGCTAAAGGCTCGGCCAGAAGCCTGGAGCGAACTTCTCCTGAGCGCTGTCGCCGTGGGCCCTCATTGTCTGCAGGAACTCTGCGGAGGGGGAGGACTGGATCGCTCTTCCACTGGGATTCGTCAAGAGTTCCGGCGGCAGCTGCGGCGGTTGCAGTGTCTCCCTTTGTCCTCCTAGGACCTCCCTCCCTTCCTCTCTCCCTCCCTCAGTCAGTTAGTGGGTCCTGCTGCCCCGGGCGCCGGCGCCCTCGCTGCTCGCTGGCCCCCACCCCAGGGTGCGTCCCTGGTAACTCCTGCCACCGTAGCGTCCCCACCGAGTCGAGTCGAGGGGGCTGCGAGCAGGAGGCAGTCGCAGGCCC